ATGACAAAAAAGACAAAAATTACTTTTCTTTTGACCTTTAGGACCCTTTGATAACTCAACATGCATTTGTTCATCATCACAAGCAGAAAACCCTGGTTTATTTAATTTCATAGATATATCGAGAGAAGAATTTACTGTTGTATTTTTACCAGAAGAAAAGGAAAAAGTATTGCTACTATTACGTTTAGAAGTTGTCATTGAATTATTGGAGATCTCTGAAATTTCTATATCATCTGAAGTATAATTACTTTCACTTGGTTCATAATCTATCATATCACTATCCTTATCAACATTTGTTTCTTCTTCATCGCTATTTTCTATATTACCTATAAAAATTTGAGAAATATATATATATATGTATAGGTATAGGAAGTAATTATAAAGCATTTAAATTTTTAAAGATTAATTTCTTACCATTATTTAAATTTATAGGACACAAATTATTTATTTTTGAACTATTTATACTTTTACTTTCATTATATTGTTCTAATTGCTCTATATCAAGCAGTTCTATATTATCTTTTAGAAGAATATTACTTTTATTACTTTTATGCACAGTTTTCAAGATGCCGCCACTGTAATTATGAGTTGTATTGAAATAATCATTACGTACTTCATACATATTTGAATCAGTAACATCTTGAATTATATTAATCTTTTGTAATGATTGTAAATAAGACTGTAGTTTATTATCTTCTCTGATATCAATGTTTCCCATATTTTTTACTAATAAATCTTGTGAATTTATAACTTTAATATGGATACTTCTTGCGTCAATTGAAATATTCTCCAGTTGTAACCTAGGTAAATTATTATTTATATTTTCCTTTATGTCAATAAGAATTGCTTCATTATCTAAAAATAAACACAATATGTTATTAATTAAAAAAACAATTAACTGTTGTAAAACAAACACAATATGTTAGTTAAATAAATAGTAAATAGTTTATACAAGTGTTTCAACCTTTTACTCTGCAAGATAAGTTATTGATAGCAATTATAATTGATCAACTAATGTATGAAGATGATCTGGGCACATTTCCACGTCTACGTGGAATCTTTACATTGCTTGATTGAATTATATTGACTTGAATTATAATTGTTGTCGTATGATAACCTATATCATAGAGTGAAAAGTTGAAACATTTACTAGTATTTATTAAACTATTTGTCATACTTTTTACTGGATTGTTGCTATTGGACTTCTATTATTAGTTACAATTATCTGCTGTGCTTTGCTGATAATTTATTTATTATAATATTGCTGTGTGGAATTTCTTCCACTTTTTATCTGTTTGGATTATGTATAGAAAATATATCATTATATTTTTCTCTCTTTAAGTGTGTGTGTGTGCGTGTGGGTGTGTGGAGAGGTCATTCTCTTTTTTAAAAGATTGCCTCCTCTCTCTCTCACTTTCTCTTTCTTTCTCTTCCTCCATCTCTCTACTTAACATATTGTAATCTATTTTTCTATGTATAACCGCATGTAATTAAACGAAAAAAAGATTTTTTGAACGATTTATTCTTTCATTTTCATAAGATCATTCAAATAAAGCCTATATCAAGCCCTATATTCTAGTTATCAATTTTTTTTCAAAAAAGTATTACTTTTATCACTTTTATGCACTGTTTTCAAGATACAGTCACTGTAATTCTGAATTGTATTAGAATAATCATTACATACTTTATTCATATTTGGATCAATAACATCTTGAACTGTATTAATCTTTTGTAATTATTGTAAATAAGACTGTAGTTTATTATCTTCTCTGATAAAGAGAAATTCCAAATAGTAATATTAACAAATAAGTTTCTAGCAAAGTACAATCGATAGTTCTCGTAAATAACACAAGTTCAGTAGCAACGATAGATAAAATTACTACAAATATAAACTGCGTTCCGAGATATTCACTTCTAGTGCTGTAAATCTATAATATACGTAACATATACATGAATTGCAGATTTGCAGTAATGACAGTGAATATCAGAATGAAGCCATAATTAATTAAAATTCACTTGTTAAAAAATAATTCATAAAATCAACTACTTCTTTGTTAATTACATATTACCATTTATAGCTATTAAACTTGCATTGTATCTTCCATTTCGATATCGAGCAATACAATCATCACCGTCTAATCTTTTAATAGACGAAGTTAGCCTCACGTCATACGTATAACTTGAAAACTTAATTAATGCGTACATTTTTAATTAAATAATCTGTTATTATTAAGTAACAACACTTTTTTCTGTAAGGTATCTTCGCAATAACACTATCAGTAAATAAATGAATAACGGAATAACGGTATATGAGAAAATCGAAGTTCCCTCCTTGGATAATCATGAACTGAGCGATTTTAAGGTTGATATTACATGTGTCATACGACAAGCTTTTCGGATACGTTCATTGATTGACGAACAGAGACCCTAGAAATATTTTATTTACCAACAAATGAACGTATCTGAAAAGCTTGTCGTTCGACACATGTATATACCAGCCTTAGGGCCGATTGTTCCAATCTTTTGGTAAGCTACCTGACAGTTAAGCGGGAAGCACACGCTCTCGCATAAAAATATAATACACAACGCATAAGGAAATGAACCAATCAGAGTCCTCATTTTTATTGTCACAATGCAGATGAAGGACTGATTGGTCAATTTTCTTATGCGTTATGCATTATGCTTTTATGCAAGAGTGTGTGCTTCTCGCTTTAAACCATATATCTATTTTCGTTTTTTTCTTCAAGTTGGATAGGGATAGATACATAATTGAACTGTTAGGTAGCTTACCAAGAGGTTGGAACAATCGACCCTTAGTCATGATCCATAATAGGTGTAGTAAGCTTTAAGCTTTAATAAATTGACCAATTATAGTCGAATTATAGAGGAATAATCAATCGTAATTGGTCAATTTCTTAAAACTTAAAGCTTACTACACTTATTGTGGATCGGGACTTAGAGTGCGTTCCGATAGAAAAATAATTTGGCCAATGGCCTGGTTTACATCGTGCACTTTATACGCGTACTATATAGTAACTTTCTAGTAAATAATTTTAATATTGACAATGTATATCAACGCATTTAATCGATATAATATGTCTTTTTTATGAATATTATACCACCTTAATATATCGATTTATATTTATTAAATTAATGAAGAAATAAGAAAATCGAAATTTAATAATCGTAATATTTTTTTAATTTGTAAAATAAGCTGTAAAATTATGAATTTCTAGGAATAAAAAGATTTCCTTACAAGAAGAAAATTAGTTTTATAAAATATAAAAACTGTGTTTAAATAAATATTTGCTGGTTTTTGAAGTAAATGAAATACAAGTAAATCATTTTATAAATCTAAATAAATTATTTTCTAATATTAAAAGTATCTTTTTTTAAATCGTGTTTCAAATTAGTTTTTTTTTTATTATTAGAAAACAATTTATTTAAATTTACAAAATGATTTATTTGTATTTTATTTACTTTTAAACCAAAGTAAATATTTTTTTAATATACTTTTTACATATACATATACTTTTTAAACATACATTTTACATTTAAAGAGATCTATTCTCTTCTTTTAAATAAATTATTTATTTTCGTACATTATCGATATACTATATGTATATAATACAAAGCGTCTCTCAGTCAAAGTGACAGTGGTATAGTAGGTAAGGTGAACGACTTAAGAACCAAGAGGTTTCGGGTTCTAATCTCGGCAATGGTAAGCAAATCTTCGAAGTATAGTTTAACTTGAATTATAAGTAGCGTGTGAAATAATATAAAGTGAAAACTAAGAACGTATAGTTTAAAATTTTAAGAAAAGTTCAGGAAAAGAGGAAATAGTATATAAATGTATATTTTAATAAATATTCTTATAATATTTATGATAAATATTTATGATCTATTGAAACTAAGATCATAGAAATATTTATGAAATATTTTGGTAAATATATAAATATATTCAAAAATATTTAAAAATATTCAAATAAATCTTATAAGTATTTTGTAAATGTTTTATAAATATTTTGTAGGTATTTTTTTTCTAGATATATTCTATGAAAATACTCATAATATACCAAATATATTTTCAATAGATTCTAGTAATATACTTCTAGTAATATATTCAAAATATTCTATTGATATACTGACAATGGCTGCGTTCAGAAAACATAGGGCGCATTCAGTAGAAAAAGCGCTCAGTGAGCAATCAACGATTATTGGTTCTTGCTATTAGATCCCTAAATCTAGACCAATTACATTGACAAATTACTCAACTGTTGTGCAACTGTTGAGTCTGCTGAATGCAGCCACTTTCTTTGCTGAACGCAACCATTTA